GAGGAGATATAGAACTAGTCGTAAGACTAACATCCCCAGACAGAACCAGCATCAAGACACCTGCTTTATCACAATATCCAAGCCGGGTTTAGTTATGTTATTGAAACAAACACTCACACCTGGCATATGAAAATAAAGAATAAGAAAACTGAGGTACACTGACATATGCATGCTCACAAAGCTTTGAAAATGCAGAATGTCTACGCTAACCATTCACCTCGATTACCCATACGCACGAATTCATTTCAACGAGGCTCACTCAGTGACGTCATTACTTTCAGTACCTGTGACGTAATTACATTGTTCCTACGTTACTTGAAAACATGGCCGTCTTTCAAACGAACATATATTTTCAACCTTCAAAGTTATACAGTTTGTGCTGAGGCCGAGATTTAGACCCGGAATGATGTAAGTAATCTTATGCAATTATCATTTAAGAATGTATTAAATGTAATTTTCTCTGTAGCCATTGAATCATTTAGTTACAACGTTTAGTTTGAATCGTATTTGAAACCTCAAACCTATATTTTTAACTATATTTGTTTGTTCTTGCCTTCAACAACTATTTTTGAAGTTCTTTCTGAGACCATTTCTGTAAAAGTCATTGTTATAAAATGTCTTTCTTCCACTGTATTCACAACACACGTTGTTTATTCCGAATTGCTCCTATCCACTTCATACGCTTTACACATTTCTTAAACATTTTCTCGAATAAGGTAAACCACTAGTAGAGAGCAAGAGCAAAGATCAACTTATGACCAAACATTGTCAACCAAGGCATATATCGTTACAGTTTGATCCTCATTAAGTCGTCTCCATGACACATGAAGTAGTAAATTAAAGACTTCGTAATAATATTTTCCTTCTTCTCTAAATAAATTTCGTCACCGTCTCGTCCTGTTTTCACCTATTTCATTTCCCCATTTGTAGTCTCTTTAGCTATTTCCATTAGCTTCCGATTTTGTCACTTCTGTTGCCAGTTCGTGAATATACAACAAAAGAGTGGTTGGCCTATCATGCATCCTTGTTGTGTACCAATAACAGAGAGTCGACTCTCTAACACAAGACCTAATTATAAGCTTTGAATAATATTCCTTCCAACATCTACAATATATATCTGAATTTCGCTTTGATAGATATAGCTCTGATGTGGATATACCCTTTCACATAAAATGTAATCTTTGACCATTGATGTAATGTTTCGTTTATGATTTTAGTCGATGATTTCCCAATAGCTTCACTCGGTAAACTTCCTCTGTAGTTCTGTATATATTTTCTTGCGAAGCAACCATATAATCATTAGTAAATAATCCGGCATGGGGGACAATATTATTAAAAAGACTTGCGTCCAAAATATTAACAACAACAGGTGACGCCATGTTGCATAAGTCTTGTGCAGTTCCTGGCATATAGTTCCCATACCGCCACAGCAGGGTATTTAACTGTTGTTGCTGTAACCTTATAATTATGTTGAGGGACGGTGGGGTAGCCTAGTGGTTAAGGCTTGTCACGTCGAAGACCCGGGTTCGCTTCCAATCATGGATACAGTGTGTGAGTCCCATTTCTGGTGTCCCCCGCCATGTTGCTAAAATCGGCGTAAATCCGTCCTCTCTCACTCACTCACTCAAAATGTATTAAAGGAACAGTGATTTCTGGTATATTACTTGTTTGTATCAACACACGTCGGCTCATGCAGGACTATACAGTCGTGTACAATATACTGTATATGTCATTGTTGTTTCTTTCACACCATCATTAAAATTCTCAAAAGCTTCAAAATAATCAAACCAGTCGACAGGGATTTTTTTCATTTGTACATATGTTTAATATCTTCAGTTCCTTCCGTGGCCCAGGCTTCTGAGCGGCAATTCGCTATGCAAAGTTGCGTCCCTTGCTTTGCCCAGACAAAGTGAGTGAGTGAGTATGGTTTTTCGCCGCTTTAAGCAATATTCCAGCAATATCACGGCGGGGGACACCAGAAATGGGCTTCACACACTGTACCCATGTGGGGATTCGAACCCGGGTCTTCAGCGTGACGAGCACACGCTTTAGCCACTAGGCTACCCCACCGCCGAGACCCGACAAAGGATTTAGGGCACCATTCTAAGCACTATACCCGTACTCGTGGGTTTCACCAAAATGGCACAAACGTCAAAGACCTGCACTGCTTCGGGATTTCCTTTTAATCTCAACTGACTGACTGACTCACTCTCTCCCTCAGACCCTACCATACATCATTATTATTGCGACTGACGGAATTCCATTTATTTTGAAGTTTACGGTCAAAGTTGGCTTTATTCTGTGAACTTATATTCCTGAAATAGATTTCGACGTTCTAATAACATGTTTTTCTAATATGCTTCGCTAAGAGATCAAAGGCGCCGACAGTACTTTATCAGGCGACAAAGTACAATTATTGCTTTACGTCACACTGAATTGACGTCACTACACCATAATAGTCTGCCCCTCGTAATCAAGCGTACCCTTGGTAATCGTACCGATTTACGTCATTTGTCATTGCCTCCGACAAGCGTCCTCGTGCTTCAGCTGCAAAATAATTAAGGGCAAAATTTACTTTTTTACACGACACATTGTTGTAGATCGATCTGTATTTCTTAAATCGATGTCAATTTCTTTAACCTCACACACGAAATTTATCGAAAACTTCATATATCTGCCTATTTGTATATCTCCCTTTACACCGTTTTCACATCACACCATATATGCTGCACTTTGGAGAGTGTGTCACGTGATCTGTGTCGTCTGCTCATATTCTCTGTGGCTTTCCTGTAAAACTATTATGAGTTCTGTGCTGACATGTCAAAACTATTATGTGTTCTGCTGACATGTCAGTGTCTGTAACAGTTGTTCGATGATAGTTTCAATAGTTTCTTGCAATATCACCCCTTACTAATTGTTGAAACAGCGTTAGTATCGACCGTTCCATATATACCTATATAACAGGTCGTCCTACTTTTAGACAAGGTATAGAAAGTCAGACTTTGACAGTACTGAGAGGTGATCCCATTAACCGAAGTCACAAATTGTGAAGTCTTTCGCTATGGACTATATGCATACATTATATTGGGAAGCCAGGGCCCCGATCCACAAAGCGTTCGTAACGTTACGACCTTTTGTAACTCTATACATTATCATAGGCTTAGGAATGGCATAGTGCTACAAACATTTTGTGAATCGGACCCCATACTGTAGGCTACAGCCCACAACACAATGTCTGTTGCTGGATGCGAACGTAAAATCTCCAACCTTATTAGGGAATGCTGAAGTCTATCTTCCAGACATAAGACACTTTAAAACTAGGTATCCAACTAAAATCTAGAATGAATGGGTCAGTCTGGGTTGCCTGAGCTCTAGGCGCCTTGTTTAATGCCCAAATATCATCCTACGCTACAGAATTAGTGTGTGAAAAAGGCGACAACGTTCAAAATATACAGACAAAATTATTCCGTTTACATTAGTATGATTTAATGTTAGTAAACCCCAATGTCAAAGCCATTGATACACGCAGAAAATTACTAGAAAAATGTTCCCAAAGGGCGGGCAATCTTAGCAGTAACACGCACAAGGGCCCTATTTCAACAAACAGTTTGTAATTTTGTTTTATCAAAATTGGGAGCTAAACATTACATTTAGGGGTACAAAGTCATTTAATTCAAGCAGTTGTGTTAGGGGAACCCCTCAAAAGCACCCCCACCCTCACCCTACTGTAAACGTTAGTTCAGTGAGATAGCTAATGTTCAGCGTCTGAGAAACTTAGACACGTACTACTAAAATGTGTTTTGGCATATGGCAGGTGGAAGGTATTTTTAGAAATGGATTCTTGCCATCCTCTCATCACGATTGGTACTCTTCGTCCACTACAGATGAACCTTGGGTTTCACTGAAGAATATTAACAGCCTATAGCATGCGTCAGTTTATAGGCATTCTGGTATCACAATCACCTGGTTGGTTGCGTGGCAACGTATCCCGACGGGTCATTCCTGATTATATCAACCACTGTGTTGTCTGGGCTAACCTCAGTTATACTTACTGGGGGTCGTGGTATATCTTTACTAATTCTGTCTGCGGCGTAAATAACAATGAGGGCCTTTAATTGATAGCCAGGGTGTTTGCAGCCATATACTGTACATGGCATCAGCCTATCCGCTCATGATTGTCCTCATTACACAGAGACAGTTTCTCAGTTTCACACAGGACACAATAGTTACAAAGTCTATACGTGTACTGGAAATGAATACCTGACCGTTGGCAATACTTGGTCTGTAAGCGGGATACGAAAGCGCGGAAAAGTATGAAAGGCGTTCTTAATTCATGTGCGAAAATTTTGTTATTGTGTATATTATTTCAGACGTTCCTTGACAAGACCCCAGGCGGACCCGTCGCCCGAGGGTGTGGTATGTAGTCTGTCCTGGGAGACACACCCAGGTCAGGCACGGGTACATCCCCCCAACACACAGGCAGGAGACATGTTCCAGATACCACTGCATCATATCTCCAACGTACCATTTGACTGGAATATCGAAGGTGTTGACGGTAGGTGCTCCGCTCAAGGGATAGATCTGCCGAACTGCGACGAAAGTGACTCGGACATTAGTCAAACCGGGAATTCAGTGAGAGGAAAAGCTCTGCTACAGTCCAAATATGCAAATTCATGTTTAAGAGCAGGTAATGAATTCAGATCAAGAGCTACAGCACAAAGCCCTGACGGACCGACTGTATCGCCCTGCTCCTCCACAAGTGGGTCCTCACCTGATGCCGCATCCAGATCCACATCCTCATTAGACGAAAGGATGCTGCTGAAGGAAGTGGCGTCGAGGATGCCGTGTATTAAGTCCGGACAAACCATCATGGCTTCATGGACTGACATCCGAGAGATATTCTTCCCTCAATGCACCTCGCCTGGATGCAACATTGTCTTGAACGGGCTCAAGCTACAGCTGAAGTATCCACACGCACCTTCCTTGATGCACGTGTGCTCTCAGTCGGAACAGATGTCGTTCCTGCAGCGTCACCTACACCTAGTGGTGCCTGGGACTCTGCTGGTTGATGTGGAGGTCTTTCTCAAACACAGATCCTTCCTTCAGGCCATGGTGGAGACGAAACACCTTGTCACAGCCGATGTCAGGAGCCTCAACTGCTGCTACGGACAAACAAGCAGCCTGAGCAGCGACCAGTCATCACAGGTAATGAAGGTATATTTACTTTTTACAATGTCAGGAGAGTGGGTGCCCACAATGGTTGTTGAGTGTAAATTTACTAATTAAGTGACGTAAGGCCGAGACTAATTTGATGTCATCGCAGATGCCATCGAGGCTTACACTCAGCTTCATAATGCAGGGTCAGTTACAATACAGACTGAGTGGAAGTCGCAGTGGCTGAGCGGGCTAGGCGGCTGACTTTGTGTGCTGGCGATTAGGTGCCTGACTCTGAGGGTGTGGGTTCGAATCCCGGATGGGATTCAACCCAACAAAAGTACCAGAATCTGTACTTTACTAAGAAAGTGTAATCCCCAATATAGCATACGTTACATTTGACCACTTTCTAAAATGGCATTGTGTAATCATAGACTGAGTTTAGCATATCACTTTGGTTCTCTACTGGTTTGGTTGTTGTTTAACGCCGCTCTCAGCAATATTCCAGCTATATGGCGGCGTCTGTAAATAATCGAGTCTGGACCAGACAATCCAGTGATCAAGTGCATGGGTCGGATCTTCACGAGTAGTTCTCTACTGTACTGGCGTAAGTACATGGTAAAGAGTGGAAGTTACTATTATGTAAAGTTTGTGCTACTGTTACTATAAGACAGGGCTGTGATCCGGATCCTGCTCAGTTATAGATCCAGTCTGTCAGGACCTTACTCGTGGTCGTAGTACACATCCGGGACACTTCCAGTTCGACTGTATCATAAGCAAATGTGATGATGTGCGTTCTGAAAATGGTTCTGTCCCGGCTGCACCCACCACATGCAAGTCATATGGTACAGCTTATATTATACATAAACCATGTACATTGACGAGGATCATCACACTGATATCTTCATCTGCTTCGACAGAATCCAACGAAACAGAAGCTCAAGATGCTAAATGGGCGCGTGCTTCCAGTAGTTGTTGCACCTGGCAACATTACAGAATGGACAGAGGACGGTAAAGAAGCTCGTGGTGCCATGGTCCCTCTGACCATGCTACCAGTGTTGTTTCCAAGGTACCAGAGGCAGCTGTTGCTAATGGCAACACGATTTATAACGATGAAAAGTAGGGCTGTGATACGGAGATGTTCCACTGCTGAAGCAAGGACGTTGAATCTCTGGCACCTCAACGCGCAAGGTATGATATCAAACCTTATAGCCATATTGAAACCACTAACCCGCATTATCAATTCCCAACAGTTGAATATAGCGAAAGTACAGGTTGTCCGTCAGTAAAATGCGCCACAATTGGCTGAGCAGTCTGACCTAGGACGTATTCACAAAATATCTAAGAGTGTGTAAAGCTTGATAAAGGTCTAAGAAATGTTTTAAAAAACCGAGTCATATTCAGAAATACGTGTAATACTGCGAGTACCTAAGCTAATATTATCAGATAGGCGTTTTATGACTTATGAACTTTCCTAAAACCTTGAGTTCGAATCTCACTTTTGCCCCGTTTATGGTCATTGGTTTGTCAATACAAAACGTGTTCTCCAGTATTTTACAAATTTGTAAACGCCATGACTTTCATCACCGGCGGCCAGTATTCAGTTGACAGTCCTGCTGTAACAGCGTTTAATAGAAGAGCAAGTATCTTTAGTTAATTGGTGTATCATTATTGTGGCATGTTTTGTAATACAGCTTTCTGATGGCATCAACTTAAGCTTATGTTACTGAAACAAAGTACAGCCGAGCACCGTTGTGACGAACTCTGATATCTCGGATGTCTCGATATAACATCTCTGTCCCGGCAAAATCCTTCATAATTTGTCATTATTCAAGCTCTTTTAACTCGATACGGATGTCTCGATATTGTATTTACTGTATGTCAAACAAAGTGCACGTGTTGTACTGTATGTCAAACTAATATTGTGTAACAAAGTACATGTACTTTACTGTATGTCAAACTAATATTGTGTAACAAAGTACTTGTACTTTACTGAATGTCAAACTAATACTTTGTGTAACAAAATGCATGTATTTTACTGTATGTCAAACTAATATTGTGTAACAAAGTACTTGTACTTTACTGAATGTCAAACTAATACTTTGTGTAACAAAGTACATGTATTTTACTGTATGTCAAACTAATATTGTGTAACAAAGTACATGTACTTTACTGAATGTCAAACTAATACTTTGTGTAACAAAATGCATGTATTTTACTGTATGTCAAACTAATATTGTGTAACAAAGTACATGTACTTTACTGTCCCAAACTATTGTCAAACTAATACTTGTGTAACAAAGTACATGTATTTTGCTGTATGTCAAACTAATATTGTGTAACATGCATGTCAAACTAATACTTTGTGTAACAAAGTACATGTATTTTACTGTATGTCAAACTAATATTGTGTAACAAAGTACATGTACTTTACTGGTCAAACTAATATTGTGTTACAAAGTACTTCCAACAACTGTATGTCAAACTAATATTGTGTAACAAAGTACTTGTACTTTTACTGAATGACAAACTAATACTTTGTGTAACAAAATGTATGTATTTTACTGTATGTCTGGTTACGTCTATGTCAAACTAATATTGTGTAACAAAGTACACTGATCTCCTACATGTACTTTTACTGTATGTCAAACTAATACTTTGTGTGTATACTGTATGTCAAACTAATATTGTGTAACAAAGTACATGATGTACTTTTACTGAATGTCAAACTAATACTTTGTGTAACTGTATTTTACTGTATGTCAAACTGAATGTCAAACTAATACTTTGTGTAACAAAATGCATGTATTTTACTGTATGTCAAACAGTGTAACATGTACTTTTGTATGTCACTAATACTTTGTGTCAAAGTACATGTATTTTGCTGTATGTCAAACTAATAATGTGTAACAAAGTACATGTACTTTACTGTATGTCAAACTAATATTGTGTAACAAAGTACTTGTACTTTACTGAATGTCAAACTAATACTTTCTGTAACAAAATGTATGTATTTTACTGTATGTCAAACTAATATTTTGTGTCCCGCATTGGGATGCTCAGGTTCCAACAAGCAGCTGGTTACGTCTAACGATCTCCTTGTGAGATGGCAGGATGTGGTGACAGTTGTGGACCCTCTTGTAAAGCACGCGGCACGGTTTGGGCGCTCTCAGTCACAGCAGGGCAGCGCCTCCTCAACAAGCAGTAGTTGCAGTTTGAGAATGGCGCGACATCCCGTACAAGTCGTCACTGGTGTCAAAGCCAATCTGATGGTACCTATTGTATGTAACAGTCTGATACATACAGAGTAGAAGTCCCATTTGTTGTTATCATGTAATATATCTCAATTTGCCATTTTAAGTAATCATTATGATTTTCCAAAACCGTTTCCATAGCAATGATATAGCAAAAGTGACAAAATGCTTTCCATTATCATAATCTCTCCCAACAGAAATAACGTCTAATACATTTCCTTATGTCATGTGTTCGGGTGTTCTTTTTTGTTTTGTAAGGGTTGGGTTTTTTAGGGGAACAGTTTACTTGCATTTGTATATGTTTATGATATTTGTATATATTTCTACAATGGTATACGTTTATGATATTTCTATAAATCTAGTTTATTTAGTTTAATTAGTTTATTTCTACAATTCAGGATTATCCGTTTCAGGTGGGATCAAAGTCTAATGAAAAACAATCCGTGTCATCTGATGTATCCGCTGAAACATGGTTGCCTAAAATACTTAACTGTTACTCTACTTCTGACAAAAGAGTTGAAGGTAGTGTGGGCTCGTCTTGTGCACTATCATCATCATCATCATCATCACCATCAAACAGTAAGGCGAGAGCTGTCGATCAGGTTCCCAACAAAGACAAAGACAAAACGGATGGACAACATGGTGAAGACTACTTGGATCAAAGCCAGAAGGTACAACAGTACATCACCATGCAGCCATCTCCAGATGATGATGGGGATGAGCATGTAATGCACCAAAAGCCTATCTCGGAATGCTCTTCATCTGCATCTTCGTGTACTTTAACCCCCGATTCTTCTGACTCCGGGACACTTGATGCTTTAGAGAAGCTGTGCAGATACGACTCTCCAGAAGAAACCATAATTTGTAACACACAGGTGTTTGAAAGACCACCAGAATCAAAGCAACTACAAGCAGAGCAAAGAACGCTCCAACATTTGCCATCAACACAGGTGAAGTTCAGAAAGTATACTGAAGCAAAACCCAACCAACGGAAATTATTTCGAGAGGGAACAAGGAGGAGTGAAAGAATTCGTGACCAAACAAAGGTGCAACATTTTCAAACAACCAAAAATGTCCCTGTAAAGAAAATGGAGATACCCATTGTTGTTCCATGTGGAACCCCAGAGGAGACAGCAAAGCTTGGGGCTGCCTGTAAATACCCGGACAGTGATAATACAAACACTGATAAAAGCATTTCGTGGGGGATTTCAAGTGACCCAACCGGTGCTTGTGACAACAGTTATGACCAAGGATCTCCAGGTGCACTTGAAAATGATCAGAGGCAAAGTCTGGTTCATGGTTTCAAAGATATTGCAAATCTGTTTACAGTACTGACAAATGAAGAAGTCTCCCATAAATCAACACAACTTGCTGCTCCTGAAATAGAAGACCTGGCAAAGAAAAATACAATGTCAAAAACAAGACAACTTGGAGACCTCTCAAGCAAAGGATTACAGATTCCTATATCATCTGATATTGCACTTCTTCTTCCAACATTGGAAACCAGTAGTCCCAGTAAAAGCCCTGAAAAGGATACAAGAGACACGACAAAACGTTCTGGGAAGAATAGGAACATCTATCCTGAGATGGTGATTGAGGCCCAGAAATGTTCATTGGGAAGTTCGACACCAGTTGCCAGACAAACCCATATCAAAGGAAATCAAGTGTCTGTGACAGATATCATGAAGAGTATGGATGAGACATTCAATGCCTTTAAGTCCGACCCAATTGCCCTGGTGAAAGCAAAGATGAGTTCCTCAAGAAATCTAACTGGGTATGTAAATACAGACTACATCCGTGTTACTGGTCCTGAACCAAACATCACATTATCTCAGAACGACTTCATACACGGAAGTTTACCTCCTCTCATGAAATACAATGTTGAATATACATCAAGTGGTGTGACATCCAAAGCCCCATCAAATATCAACCTTCAAAACACCTTCCAGAAGAATCATTTTGAGCCAGTTGAAGATAGCAGAGATGTATCAGCTCTCCTGAAGTGTCCCACACCTTTGCATCAATGGAGTCTTCTCGATAATAGATCTAGCCCCACAAAACTCAAGCCTCAATTGCGACCTTTAATAGCTTGTCCTCCAGTAGATGATAGTGCTACATTAAAACCAGAAGTCTCCTCAGAAATTTCAAATCCCAAAGATCCCAAAGCAGCAAGGACTGTCACACCATCCCCTGTGAAATTGGTTCTCATGAAAACTCAAAGTAGTAGTACAAATCCATCGAAAAAGCCGCAATGGAATATTAAAAAAGTGATAAGAGCCTCAAATGTTCCAAAGAAACCAGAAACGAGTTGCAATGAACGAAAAGCAAGAATGGATGCAGAATTTAATGCTATGAGAGCACGAGCTATGGCTAAAGCTGATTCAGTGGCAGCTGCCACAGTTGCAAGACATACGTTTGCCATGACCTGTAATGTAATGAAACCTTTGTGTAATAAGTCAGCTTCACCAGGTCGCACGACAGGACCTGGGACAGTAGCCTGTGTCAAGAATAATCCTGATTTGGCAGGCCAGGTCAGAGTTCCTGTAAAGAGTAACGTGGTCAACAGCACGTCACAATCTACGTCTTTGGGTCAGATTCAAACCTCTGCATCACCAGATACAGTGGAATGTGCTGGTACTTCAGTACCTCCAGGGCTTGTTACCCCAAGTAATTTATGCGAAAATGATACCACTACATCCACTGTGGCAGATGTGTCTAAACCGCATAATGCATCTGATAAACTGAAACTCTCTGAGGCTAAAGCTAATTTGCAGGTAAAATCTGGAAAACTTGATGTGGATTCCCTCAGCATAGTACAGAAAGTAGATTCTCTTAATATTGCTGGTATCAAGCCCAAAACGACTGACTATCTCTATACTGAAAATGTAAAGCAAATAGCTTACCCTCAAGACAAGACTCTGCCAGATTCAGTTGAAACCTCCAATAGTGTTCTGAAAGAAAAGGTTTCCCAGTCAAAGAAGCGGCAAAGAGTTGGGGAAGCAGAAGAAAGGAGGTCCCTAGAGTCAACAGCGTCCACAGTGTCATCAGAGAACATCTCAACATACTGGTCAGGGTTCCCTCTCGGTCAGAGTTCCCGTAGGCTAAATGGACCTAAATTGTGTTTTCCAAGTTATACAGTTGATTACTTCACGCCACCAGATAATGCCCCATCTCAAGAGAAACTCGAGAGTCGTCCTCCAAACACTGCTCCTCCAGCTTGCACACCAGCATCAGCAAGTGTTAATATATTCACCAACACTGGAAACGACTCTCTGCCCAGTTATGTTAACTGGCAAAGAAATGTTCAGCCTATCAGATACTTAATACCAGTCTTCACAAATGCACCATTGCTCCTGTACCCCACCAGTCAACAGTCTAGCTCAGAGGCACAAAACAGAGAACATCTTATAAATTCACGGTCGATGTCTGCAGATAGATCAGAGTTTGCTGCTCACCATGAAGGTCGTTATCTATCTCAATTAAGCAGATCAGCCAGTTTAGGGTATAACGACAATGAGGCGGTCCCCCATGTATCCCACAGAGACAGTCGTTCCAGGGGTGCATACGAAGCAGACACAAGCAACCACCACTTAATCTCCAGTGTTGATGAGGAGCAATGTGGTATTAAGCATGTGCAACTACCATCTTTCTACAAACCATTAGAGGAAGACAAAACTATATCAAGAATGACCACTAATAGCACCGGTAACAACCAATCTGTAAGAGAACCATATGTCAACAGTGGAAAGAACAAAGAATCAGTTACAAAATTAGATCACACTAATTCCAACACAAACAAGGCATCAGTCGCAGTAACCCTTAATCTTGGAAAAGGCCCTGATGTGTCTGAAGCTGAAAAGGCTGAAAGCACTACAAATAACACATCAGGTTGTTCTGAGGTGATCAGTGAAAAGGCACTTAAAGTCATATCACTGATACCAAAGAATCCTGTAGTGGCTGATGCTTGTATATCCTCCAAATCTGTTTATCCTTCTCCGTGTTGTACACAGTCACAGGACATGAGCCTTGCAATGCAGCCTGGTCTTGGGAGGAGCCTCAACGGTAAACCCAAACCAGCAACAGGAGCTCTGAATCATCAGGCAGAAGGTCTTGAAGAGACAGAGGCTCCGGGTCAGAAAGCTGATTTTCACAGGGGAAAAGATACCAAACTGTACAGACACCACTGCAGAAAGTAGAAGTGGTACAAGTAGCAAGGTATTAACCGCAGCCAGGCCCCATATAGGACCATTCCATGAAAGAGTCCGCTTAGAGGCATGTGGAAACGTTCATAATATCAGAAACACAGGCACTGTGTCCAAAAAGGAGGGTCATCTGGACCAGCAAATCAGTAACCTGAAAGAGAGAGGCCCTATCGAGCTTGCCAGTGGAGAGTCAATTAGATGGAACTCATCAAATCATCTTTGGGTTCTTGATAAGAACACAAACAATAACTGTTCTGATGCTGATGATGGCGAGGAATGTCAGGGAAGTCGCCATTATCAGTTAACTTTATCCCAAAAGAAGATGCGTAGATCAGATTTACTACCTCTGAGAACGAGGACAAGCAGATGCAGTGAGAGAAGACCAGCAAAGAAGAGTGTACATACGGTTTCAAGTGTCACTACCCTTAAAGCTCCAGTGAATCAAACTGATGTGGATGATCTGTTGGTGACTGCAATGGTCACTCTACACACGCTGGAAACATGTTTGACAAAGGGAAGATGTGGATCTAATTCCAACAACAACTGTGATGAACATGTTTCCCCAGACAGTAAGACACGACCTGTTAACAAGCCAGGATCATCGCACCCAACAGTTAACTCAAGTCCATTAGGTATCTGTCAAGTCAAAGTACCTACTCCTGCTGTAAATGCCAACAATCAACAGCCTATATATCCTTTATATTGTTCAATGGTTAAAGATGAACCCATAAAGAAGAACATTTTACTTCGTGAGACACTGAGAAACAATTTCGAGCTGATCAAAGAAATCAGTAAATGTATCTGCACATGTAAAGACGCTGTCATGTTTGTAAAGCCAGGTGAAAGGGAGTCCTACACACGTTTTCTTAAGAAACAGTACTTGAAGTCTCTGAGACACTGTCCTTTACATTCTGGAGAATCTTCGAGGCAATATAAACAAGAAATACTCATTCTACTGGACCGTCTGTGCAATAAAGTCGGGAAAGGTCAGACCGAAATAGGAGGCAAAGGAAAAGCAAAACGTGGGGCAAGGAAAAAAGGACAAAAAGTCAGGAGGCAAGGTCAAGGATGTATAAGATCAAGGCCGGTTAAAAACCAGTGGGAGCTAAATGTTGCCAGACATTATCTTGCATCCTATGTCAACCAGCATTATAAGAAGGAGTTGTTGAGGAGATTTATGCAGGAGGGAAAATGTCTTCAAAGTACTACATTATCAGGTGTAAAGGGAACTATGCAGACAAAATTCATAGATGTTAAAGACTTTGATAAAAGAGTATACAACATTGACTCGAAGACTCTAAGTTCTAAATGTGAGGTGAATAATTCCATTGATGCAGATCGAGAGGTGAGAAGGCAGTTAAAGGCCCAGGACGGGCATTCTGCACAGCAGGAGCTCTTCATGCAGATCTTGCTGAGGACTAGGCAGCGGAGTGGCAGCTCGAGAGAAGATGCCACTGCATACAAAACAAAGGACGAGTCTACACACGGTGACTGGTGCAGCAGGATCGAACAGCTGAATATTACTGAGGACTGTCAGCACAAAGAGGTCGCTCTGAATCCAAGTTCTGTAACCTGTGGTGATAAACATTTCTTCACTTCAGCACACTTCAGATCAGGGATACAAAGATGTGAAGGATCCAAAACAGTCGGCCATGGTATAAGGTGAGTCCATGTATCGAGTTCTGTTACCTACGAGGGCGAACATATCGGGGTTCATATTTTTCATACGATGCCCTAGGGCAAAACATCACTTTGTCATGGCGACGTGACGTCATTAACAATGCTATGACATCACGTTTCTTCTATGACGTTCCGTTCTACATGCGGCAACAGCAGGTAGCCAGCCGATGTTTGAAAGTAGATTTAGGTTTATTTTCCTCAATTTGACGACTTCGGTAATAATTAGAATATTATATTCGTGCCCATATCATACTATGGTTAAAACACTCGTGCCTAAATTTCGGTATATCCCTTGCTATTGCTCGGGAATTACCAACATTAAGCCACTCGTGTCGTAAACATAGTATGACATGGGCACGAATATAATATCCTCTATATATTAACATCAGAGCCTACTAACTACTCCCTGGTTTGCCCCAAGTGATTCTATGTTGTCAGCCACATGCAATTGTGTTTCCAAGTGGTAAGACCTGCATCCCGGCTTTCCTCCCACACCAAGCAGACACCTTCTGATATAATTGAAATACTGTTCAAAGGTTAAACCAAACTTATCAACTGCAAACTGAAATTATATCTGAGATATGGTGCATGTTGAAACCTATATCCACTCTATGCAAACTGGTCTTCAGGTTTAACTGATTTCATAATTCTTTTATTGGTTTTCTACAGCTACCAGGAAGTGTTCAGTGACTCCAATCCCGACATCAGCTACTGTGGGAGAGTGCACATCAGAGGTCTCTCTCTATCATACGTGATGGAGAATGGTTACAAGTTTCTGCCATTGAAGCAGGCTATCCGTCTGTTCCCGTGGTGCTGTTGCTCGATTTCAAAGGCTGTTCTCAGGACACACCCAGGCCTCGTTAGAACCTTCAGCACATGGGAGCATGTATGTATCTGATCCTTTAAAGGGAAAGTAAACCGATAAAGTAATGATTGCGATTTTGTTGAGAATATCAGTTTTCCTAGATACACTTTGCCTATAAAAAAATCATGACATTCACAGAATGTATTTCAAGTGAAAGTGCTGAAATCACGATTTGTAATCGGCTTCTAGAACAAAAATATTTTGAACCGTGGCCTATAGGTACCAGCAGTGATGTGGAACAAGTTTTTGTTGCTTGTGATTAGCTTAGCTGCTGTATATATTCCTTCTTCTGCATCTGGTAATCCTAAAAAATAGCAACAAAATGACAACATGGCATGCAATATTGAATATATGAAAAGTCCTCTTTGTTCTTGAAATAATTAAAATACCAATTTGATCTAGCAGTATGTGTCAAAAATTTTACAACCAACACCCAAAAATACACAATAGAAACAGCTTTTTATTACATGTCAAAACATTATTAACATCTACACTAAACATAAGACAGCAGAGCCGTTCACTTGTTTCCGTTGACCGAAAGATAGATCTTTTGTTTTGGGTGGCATCAAGCAAGCTGGACAGTGGTCACAGAATCATTCTGCTGAATATGAAGTATCTCAATGAATGTATCCTATTTCGATGCCATCTCCTAGAGATGATTGGTTACTGTCGCTCAGTGAAACATGATTGTGTTTCGTGACAGTGTTATCTTTGATATTAACGAAGGTTTGGTATTGCCTTTGGGAACATTTGCAATGAAGTTTGACGTGAACTTTTATCATTAAAAATACAGGTGCGGACTCCTCTTAGAATTGAGAATATACTTTACATCCATCTGCGCATGGGAACTTTGTTCCTTGTCCAATTCCTTAGATGGCCCAGGTCATATTGAAGTATTATTATGTTGATACTGATCTTAAACGTGTTCACTCAATACAGTAGTATGAAAATAGTTTACCAGTTGTGTTGTTATATTTTGAGTTGTGTTGTGACACGACCTTATCGCCTTATGTCAAACCAATTGTGATGTTCGGGCAAATTTGTACCTGTGACAACAGGTGCTGGACAAGTTGGGAGACACCCTGAAACTACAAACAGGGCGCCATCCCGATTTGACGGGAGAATACCCTCAGCGACGGTTTCCTTTGGAAGTTGTGGTTATCGTCTTTTTACAGCAGTTTCCCCCTTTTCAAATTATTTTTTGGTCAAGAATTTGATTAAGTATGCTCTAAACTTCATTTGCAATGTTGTTGGTCCTTTCAGCAAGGAACATTAGGTGCATTTTTAAAAATTGTGTGTGGTGTGACATAATTATCACATCCTATATGTCTTTGGCATCAGTTATTTAGAAATGTAAGCACATCACTTTACAAATACCCCATCCATATGATGTATATTCTCTTCTTATGTTGTCTTGAGAAGTCAGAGTTGGCGGTTTTGCTTTTGGTTTACCTCAATAATACTCCTTATGGTAACATCAAATGGTTTGATTGTTTATGTTACCAATCACTTTGTCTGACCAAGAAATGATGGAACACCATGATTTAGCTTGAACACTGCTGTCACTCATTCACTTCACTCAAAACATAATGCCTTTAGTGCTCAACTGTAGCATACATTGAAACCTGTCTTTTTAGGTTCGTCTTCTCGACCTACTGAGTGGAAAAGGGAATCAGAACAATGTCCAAACAGGGGATATTCTGGTCAAACTGGACACTATCATCACCTGTCTGCCAGACATAGAAGCTGAAGTGAAGCTCAGGCATCGGACAAAGAGACCCAAAAAGTGTCTCACCTGCAAATACTAGCTGCAAGCCAAACTACATCTCTCTCCTTTATAGGACAATGCTCACCAAATACTCCAGAAATATCTTCTGGTTCAACAGACAATCATTTCAGACAACTGCACCACTTCTGGATGAAACAGATACACTGACCTACAACAGGAGGGATTTGAAAAGGACATCTTCCTCTTTGGGCAAGGAATATGTTTATTTTGAAATGAACAACCTGAAGATGTTTAATTTCAATGACATCTATGAAGTCAACTGAGAGAAGAGCATCCAATGTTCCTATAACCAAGCCAATTTTGTCCAATGAATTCCTAATCATCATCAGAAAAAGTAGAGATGCACACATTTTGTGTTTTCACGTGTACATCAATGTCAAGATGTTTGAGGGTGCTGAAATAAAAAGACTCAAAATGAACAGATCTTTTCCATTTTTATTCATAATGTTGGTGCCCCATACATAGAGCTGACCATGTTTTAATGGAAGCAAATTTCTCACAATGTCCACTTTACAATAATGTACTTGGGGCATTGTAGTAGTGACATTCAAATTAAATATCATTGTCTAAAGTGTATACATCTTCAATATCCCCACAGGCTAAAACAACTGCCAACAATCAAAGGCAGATGAAAGTGGCACAGACCTTGAAACTTGAGTTACAATGGGCACTGAATCAGTAAATGTGAATCCATTCAAGATCAGAACCAAGGCACACCCATTGTTGTCACATCAGGCATATGGTTTGGTGACATCAGGTATTCCCATGAGCAACACTTGAAGAAATGCTGGTCAACTATTTTCCCTTTTCTTGAAGACATTTCACTTTTACTTTCAAAATTTGACTGGAATTAACCTTTATTTTTAAAAAAATACAAAATATAAATTAAACTTTCCTCCTTCAGCTACAGGAAAATTGAACAACAATACCATCTTACTGAATTCTGTAATTACAATTTTAATCTTAAATTCAAATAAATGGTGTTGTGGTAGTCATTTGTTCAAACAATCACAGTCTGTATCAACATATTACATGTGTTCTATCACTGTTGTTCTTTTGGATACATTTTTATGATTCTGTCTGGGTTTGCACTAAACAGCTGTCCATGCTGTATCAAACATATGGTAATTTTCAACTGTAAAATCCTTTTTCAACAAAGAATGGAGTCACCATTACTTGACCCTATCCCACATTGTTACTCAACACCAAAACGTCACATATCTACAATTGTCTATAAAATCATGATAGTACAATTCCATTGAGACACTGCAAATATACAAATCATGAAGTGTCCAAATACAATTCCAAATCTGTGAATATACACACCAGCGGGTTAGAGTTGCTTAGTCAAACAATGCTCAAACATTGGACAATTATATACGTTACAAGGGTATTCAGGCATTTTGAAACAGTCAAAGGGTCCTAGTCTTATATATGTTGTAAACTATAGACAACGGAGTGTGATTCTGATACTCCTACAAAGGAAACACCAACATACCCATACACATAGAAGGTTTCTCCTTGTATTGTTACATAAATACCTGTGCACGCACGATGAACTGACTTAATTACTTTACACAAGCATGAGCTGTCAATTTTAGGACAAAGGTATATTGTTTGCTAAGGAAATTGTTTGGGTTTACATTTTCACTAGTGAACACAAAAACACATTTCATCCACATCTGCATTATTTGGCATTGGAATCGTCCACTTTGATTTAAGGGAAGTGGCACTGATTGAAACTGTGGACTGACTTGAAGGACAACAATATGCTTGTCTGTGAGTTTCACACAGGCACCTAATGGAACAGTTGACTGTAACTTATCAACACAGCTACTGCCTTGGAGGTTGGGTACAGGTAGGATTCAAGGGGGCTCTAAACCAAGTACGATCCCAATCCTAAACAAATAATAAACATCAAATGCCTCAAAAAATAAGCATATCTGGAGTTAAAAACACAGTTCCAGTGAGAAAATACTTTTGCAAATTTTGTCAGTTGATACTGCAAACTGTCAATATTCCAATGCTGATAGACTTGATGTTGGCACACACATCACTGGCACTGTGTGGAACAGCTCACCAAGTTGTCAATGGCACTGCTCATCAAATAGGGCTTAGCATATGCTAAAAAGACATAAGCATGATAAGCTTGATAAATTGTTGTAAACAAGATTCAGTTAGCTACAGCAATAACACTGACAAATATGAGCTTCAGCGAAAAGAAAGCTATTTTTGACCCGTTTCCATGGTTATTTGAGTGTTACTATAAACTTTCAACATTTCCACAAGTCCATAATTTCTTTCATAGCACTGAACTAAAAATACTGAAGCAATCAGGATGTACAATCTTAGATGAGCATCCCAGATGTACAATCCCATCAAAATACCACTATCTTGGAAAATATAGGCACCATTTGTTTCTATGTTCAGGATATAATTCCATCCAAGTCAAATTGTAACGTCAACCAACTGTAAAGCAACAAAACCAACGCTACTTTCCAGAACTTTGATATCTTCTACTTATGTGAAAATGAGTGTTTTTGTGTCTGCTACGACAAATGCAAAAGATAAGACTACAGTTCCCCTTTCCAACAGCACAGGAAACCCAAAATGAAGTTTGCATGTTTTGATCTTGAGCATCTTGACTTTTCTACCTAGAGGTAAACTAAAGCGGTGGTACTGCAACCTAGCACTGAGACAATCATAGCTCCCTGATTCCAAGCTAGCAGTCCACAGTCGACTCCATCAAGGGAAGACAGACAAACCATCAACTCATCATACAGTGAACAGGAGAACCCAGAGGATGGTAGGCAGGTCCATGTGGAGACATACTCAACAAACACAAGACATTGACTGATCAACTAAAAAATCAACATTTTGGTGTGCTCAACTGACTGAGTCTGTGCTAAACAAAACAAAATGCAGCTCAGAGGAGCAAAGATGGCAGTATAAATAACGATTAGCATCCATGACGGTGCCTCTATGCAATGTCACCGTAGGTAGAAGACGCAGTTGTTCACAGTATGGTGCAGTTCTGGTGGCCATTGCGGTTGTTCTTCTGTTTGAGCCGTGACTTTGGACGGTAATGTTCCAAGTAGGACAGCTGTTTAGCATTGATTGCACCCTTTCGTTTCCTGGAACAAGATTTTTTCCATGATGAGTAAGCATCAAACAACAAAAACATGCTCTTAAAGTCTTTGTAAAGACTCCACCTTTATTGGTAGTAAATTTAAAGTGAACATCACCTAATCTAACCATTCCATCATTGAAATATTTCTGAGATCGTTACTGCATACGCTCACTAACTCTCGCTTGGGCATTACAAAATTTCACACTCGTTTCCCATAAGTCATATGACACACTTGCTCGAGTGTAATAATTTCTTTATTATCCATTTTATTCATGTACATTTGTGCTGAAAAAAAATCCCACAGTAAGCAGTACATTTTGGACATTTGATGTCTTCCAATGATAATTTTGAGTAAATGTCTGTAATTGTTAGACATAATTGAAACCCTAAACATTAGAAATATTGTGAATAAACATAAGACAATTAAGCAAAAACACAGAGGCTGTTGCAGAAAAAACAAGTCCCCCAAAATGTCTTTCAGATTCTTGCTAACAAATATGCAAGTGACTTGGACTGAACACATTTGTGAATTTTACAGGCATTTCCAAAGAAAATCCTTGACGCATGTGGTTGTTTCTAATGACAAATCTGGACAGCACACATCATGCTGGACAGTTAGGACTTACTGTCTAATGAGTTCCACAGCGTCTTCATACTTCATGCCACTTTCCATGAGTGCTAGGGCCACCAACACCGGCGCTCTGCAACATCAGCAGCAGCAGCATTAGTCTTAATGTTACATGTACACATTTCACTTACCACACTTCTAAAGAATTAAATAAACAGGAGGAACTGCTGGTATGCAAGTCTAAACAAATACAGGGTAAACATGTATCTCACAAATGAGGGTTGACACTTAAATAAGGGAGCTGTGATGCAGCAACATACACCTTCTAAGGGGTGTCTAATTCTAAGGGGTGTCTAATTCTAAGGGGTGTCTAATTCTTTAACAACAAAGCAACTTTTGTTTGCCTGTCTTAGCTGAATAAAACAAGTTGTAAATTTAACTTCTGTTGGTCAACCAGTACATTTCTACTTACCCCAAAAATGTGATTGTTTCTGCCCCTCTCATGACCATAATATTTAAGAAATTTTTAAATCCATAGACACAGACGCTAAGAACAGTCTCAATAGATTGTACCCATGTCGGACCTTGAAATAATACACTGTCCCATCTTCCCAAACAGGTGTCGTTATCAGTGACTACCATCCCATAGAGCATGTGTGCCAAGATCATGTCCGTCTAAGATGCCACTTTGACATGAACCATTTCACAATCCCAAACAAGGTTGGTTTTTATTGAGAGATCGCCACCCTGTCTGTCACATTGATCTCTATATGGAGGAAAGCGACTGACAAACATTCCCCTAGAGTATGTAGTACAATGTACCTGCCGAGACCTGCCACACAGTGTACTGCCACGCAGCAGCCTGGCTCCTCACGGAAGCGTGTCTTGAGCAGGTTAAACCAGTCTTCCACAACTGCAGCTGGTGGGGGGCTGCCGTCATCAAATTGCCAGTCCTAGGGAGACAAAACAAATACAGTCCATCAACTTTCAATAGTCATCCCAATGCTCATGAAAATACCTTCCTTTACCGTGTTGTACACTTTAACAAAACATAGTAAACAGTTACCTCCCTTTGACCACATGAATTTTGCTCCAACATATACCATTTTCACCTTTCCTGATACATAGCTTCCTCCCACCCTATTATCACTAATTATTAATCTATCTTTAAATTATCAAAGTCATCACAACCATGAAAGCTTCAGCCATGATCCATGCCATTAGGTAACAATGACAAACTAACAGCCAGTTCATACATACAAGATTTTCATTTTAGAAAACTCCTATAACACGCTAAATGGGTTAAAGAAACTGGTTCTTTCTCGGTCATGCTGGACTAAAGAAAGAGCTTCCACTGTTCAAAAATCATTTCAAATTGGTCCAGAAATTAACAAGCAGAATGCTACACATTCATCGGCTTGTTGTCAAGTTTCGTTACTATGTAACAAAAACCTTTAATATGGCGTACCTCCGTAAGACATGTACCTTCATTTGTCTGCAAAGTAAATACTACTGAAAACTTTATCAATTTTGTAGCTAGAATTTTCATGGGATGCTCAATGGCTTGGTGAGGTGAGATGAAATTGGGTTTTACGTCGTGCTTGAGAATATTTCGCTCATATGACGGCGTGCATGCGTGTGTATGTGTATGTGCGGCTGCTTGTACTAGCACATACTTAAGCTGGTTTTATAGTGCTAGCCCACTGAGATACCATGCCGCAGTGAAGCATGAATACCCCACTCAGACACATTATAGTGACTCCGAGCCGACCAGTCCTTGTTGTACCCATTAATGGTGAGCGCCAGGCAGGGACCAACAAGTACCATATCTCAATGGCTAGGAAGCCATCAACATAACTTTATTAATGTAAGGTGGATTGTTATCAGCAAGACAGTTGCTATCTACATGACCTATAGATGATTCTATTTTGTATTTCAGATGAAAACATAAACATATGAATGACTAATTTGTTATGCACTTGAAATGGCTGAAAACTGAGCTGAAGTTTTCGAGCCTGCGGTGTCCATAGACACATGAAGACTTGGCTGTTTTTTCTGCTATGTTGAATGGGTTAACTAACAAGCACATTCCACATAGTAGACCCTCACCAAGACTCGGATGCCCTCTTCCTTGAGTCTTTCTGTCTTGTAGGTGGGGTCACACACTCTCACCACATCCTTTGCCCCACGCTTCTTCAGTTCCTGCAACACACAACCGGGTCTTAGCATCATCAGGCCAGCATACACTTCTGCGACTCCAACACTACTTTCATGGAATTGACTTGGGGCTGCATTTAACAAACTTATAAACCGAAAGTTATGCGTCAACATGGTTGAGTTCTTTCTACAATTAACGTGAGTGTGAACAGTTTTACACTGCTTTTAGCATTATTCCAGCACTATCACAGTGAGAGACTCCTGAAGTGGTCTTCCCACATTGTACCTCTGTGTGGAATCAAACTCGGGTCTTTGGCATGACAAGCGAACGCTTTAACCATCAGGCTACCCTACTGCCCTACAATTAAACTAATGAGAGAACTCAGGAGTTCATATTTACCTCAATGAACTTATCAATGGTGGAATCAGTTGGTCTATCCATTATCAAGTAGCGCATACTCTTGAACTCAATCTCAGCTGGCTCGGGTCTGCGTGCTTTCATGGCTGCTGTCATACTATTTCTCCACACACAAGATTACACCGAGAATCATACACAGAAGCAATGTTATATTAATCTTCTGCTCACACCAAGTACAAAGTAGTATTGCAATTCTTGAACAAAAATGCTTAGGCAGCTGGTAGAAAATATTTTCTTCAAAAATATTTTCTCTGTGGTGATATTTCTTTGTTGTTTGTTTTTCACTCCTGGCTACAAAACATAAGCGATGAAAGACACAGGGGTTTTCAGTGTCCAAGGGAGTGGGTCAACGAAACGTTCTTAACCCATCCAAACTCCAAGCAATGAGGGCCTTCGGAGCCCCCACACGAAGGTCAGTTAGCCAATCAAATGAGAGTAGCGTGACTGCAGCACCGTGGTTGCCGTGACAACGTTGTCAAGGGCAGGCGACTCCGCAAGCTCTCTACTCGTGTTGAGCCTGACAGTAATCCCCGCTGTTTGTCACAAACTCCATAAAGGTATGACCGTATTCACCGTTAAACTGCAACAAAAGAACAAAAATTTAATGCTTCATGAAAAGAAATATACACACACACTCAATTGATAAAAAAGACTAATAAGTTGTGCCTGCATCAAATAATTTTCTTTCTATGTTTTATGTTCAATGTCACACTAAGAGTATTCCAACCATATGACAAACTGTAAATAACCAGAGGACCAGACAATCCAGTGATTGATGTCATGAGCATTACTAGTGGTGAGTTCAGGACATTAAGAGCTGAATGGATTAGTACACCAGTGTTTGATATTTGGCTGGGTAAGTAACAGCTTTAACAAACCAAGATTTCACCTGATGTGAAATGGCATGTGCTTTTTTAAAATGTGCTTTATACATTGTGTAGTGCCCTAAACCTGTGCACCAGAATTGAGTTGCATGTTATTAAAGGAGATCCTTGACTCCTGAGGGTTTGTTGCTATGATTTAAATCTAGGGATCAGACATTCTTTTAACTTTTAACATAAGGATTAGAAAGTGACCTTGATTTTCATGCTTGGTGAATGAGTGAGTGAGTGAGCACTTGACTTTACACATTGTACCAATGTGGGGCAATCGAAACTGAGTGTTCAATGAGTGTCTTGTAACCACTAGGCTGTAGTGCTGGACATTGTACGCCATTAATAATGCTAACTGTCATCTTTTATAAGCCATTTCCTCCCACAATCACATGCTCATTGGACCAGTTCTCAGTACTCTAAGTGCAAACACATCCTTGTGTAAATGCCAAGGAACAGATGGTGTATTCAGAAACATGTTTTAAAATAACTTTAAAAAACAATAGGTTTAGAGTTGTAAAGCCAAACAGATCACAAATTATGCCAAGATGTCACAATCTAAGCACTTCTAACTATTTGAACCAAACTGCCTCATTCCCCAACCTGGCACAATAAAACACGACCATTAGAACCACCATAGCTCTAAAACTGCTTTCTGGATTTCTAAATCTAGGATTTCATAAATTCACGCCAACAGTTCAACACAAACAAATCCTTTGAAAACTGTCTCATTGACGCTTAACAGTAACCATGGTAACAGAACATTAACTAACAAGGAATTATCCTCCCCAATAAACATGATCAAGAATAATGACTCGTCTTTTTCATGACAGATCATGCATGTTTCTACATTAAGCAGAAGCATGCAATTTCAATTTACTGAGCAGCCACCTGAACATGCTACCTGCACGCTGCACTGAAACACGTACAGCTGACATACATCTGCAGATATTAGTTGTCATGTTATAAACACGTTTTCAAACCAAACAAAGGAATGAATGATACATGAATTACTTCAAATAAAACAGAAAGAGATGCTACACCAGCAGAATCCAACGCTCCATGACACACCACTGTGTTTTACACATGCACCTATAGTACTCTACTCATGACCGATGAATCAGCTGAGTGTGACAATACACCAGATGCACTCCATAGAACTCGGCAATCTTGCAGCAAGGTTGTGGAGCGTTCAAAACAAGCCACTGCATACAATGTTACTGGGTGACTGGGTGCACAACCACTACCTAGTACACAGATACACACAGTACCTGGACAGTAGACTCAAAGAGTGTACTTTCTTCAACAAGTACAAGCATTTTTTCAAATGCCTTATTACCATCAGTCTATGACGACTTTGGTGTCCACAATCCCAACATGGCATTTACTAGAATATTTTGCACATTTTAGTGTTACATGGATTATTGTGAGCTGATATTACAGATTAATCAGAATTTTACTAGACGTGAGTTCCAGTTGTTTGTCAAAGACTGTTACCATAAATGTGTTAGATGCTAGAAAATCCATCTGAGCTAAAACACAAAATTCATTCATTATCTCAACAGTTTCAGGTACGGTAAGAATATATATGTAGTTCTCAACACATTTAGTCACAGTATGGAAATGTTGCTCAGCTGCATCTACAAATAGGTGGGCTCCTCAAATGTACTTCAATTAGCAGTAATTACCTTAACATATGACTTATGTACTCTGACAAAACAGCACGCCTCTTAGACCAGATATAATTCCAAATATATTCACGCATTTCAATAACACTAAAAACAGTTAATTTTTAATTCACACTGATATATAAAATATTGTGAATGATTAGTAATCCAATCTGTTTAAAAATAATAAGATATTCACACTAAGTATTAGTTGTTCAGTTTTTCTATATGAACCATTATTGACTGCTCTTAATGGATGTAACATTCCTTAGACAAGGCTTCAGGAACCAGGGATAATTTTTACTTATTGACATCTCTATATCTGGAGTGTATATCAGAAATCGAACTGTAGGCATACCAACTTACATCATGTTTTACTTGCATGGACTCTACATGATTCCTGGATGTTGATTACTTAACATTTGGTCTTTAATCAAGGGTTAATTTTCTCCTTTGTGTACTTCATCAGCAATCAGTTCTACATTTGGTCTTGTATGCCAATATACATTATTTACTGTACATGTGATTAGTGGTGAATGAGGACACGTTGACACAGACAGAGTATTCCACTTGTACCAAGTATAGGCACTATTAAAGCTATTAATGGAGATCATTTTGTTATGACATCGGTTTATGAGACACCAAAACCTTCAGATCTTGCAACCAAGCCCTATTGTTGTTTCCATAGTAATTCACTGTTTTTGTACCATCCAGTTCTGTAACACAATCATCCAGTGTTTGAAATTATCAAAGACCTTGTCATAAAATTAACGTTAAGAATTGAACATTATGTGAGTCAAGAAGAAAATACTAAAGAGGGGGGAAAAGACAAGGACTCTTTGACCCACTTGACCACTGGACAATATCATTGGCGCCAGATATTCATTACTGACCACCAAGCTGACAACAGGGCAGTGTTACACACTCAACACCATTCCATCAACATGTACATACCCAATGAAATAATCAGTTAAAAAAATTCAATAGTCTAATCACAATGTTCAATAACAGACAGTATCCAGTATGATCACCATGGTTACATCACAAGTCATCAATATGCTAATGACCATCTGGGAACTCATCCACTTGTATCAATACACTCAAAGTTATCCACTAATCCCCAAAACATTGATCAACAACATCCTCCACAAAGAACATTGATTTCAATTTAGATCTTCGTTCCCATCTCAACACTTGTGTTTGATAGCCATATTTTTTTCTGCAGCACGACAGCTTCATCAACAACGTTACCTTGATCCCAACTGCCACACGGCATGCAGAGGTCCTGATTTACCTACGCTAATCAATCCCACGAGATTGATACAGCCAGACTGCACCTACACTGATTGACTGTCTCCTGATTTACGGCTAGTCATTTTATCTACACATGGCCAGCTAATGGAGAGCTACACATCAGTCAGGATACTGTCAAGGATTTGGCAGCTCAAGTACTGCCAAGCATCTTGAGTAATGATCCAAATATTGAACAATGAGATAAAAAAACAATATCCCTGAGGCTGATGATGGTGGTTAAGTATATGCCTATGATGTACTTATATACATGAATCAATTTTGTTGTTTGGGAACTATAAAGAACATGGCTGTATATATTGAGTATACACTTTGATCCATGTGGCAGCACTCATCAGAAACAAGTTAATGGCCCCATATGTCATATTTCCTACCCAGACAAAACAGAGTGAAATATGTAGGCAATTAGATGAATAACATTCTGCCAAGCAGTTTGGTAAATGTAATGGTATAGCCCTGAACAGTATTTCAATCTAAGTACATCCATGACCAAGACAAGGACCCCCTAAGCCTTTGATCATGTTGACCTTAATCACGCTTATTTTGAACACTGACTTCTATTTCTATTCAATCATTCTGGGGTTGTACCTGTAGTACTGGGTTTGTTTGTGGCTCTCATGGCATTCTCAGAAATCAAACAATGTCATTTGATTTCAACATATCATCTGTCCGTATGACTCCTACATGCAGGCACAAATGACAGTCAGTAGTTGTATCACAATGTTAAACAGGAACATCAATAACAGTCCAGCTGATTGCAAACATGCTATTCATGAAACACACAAGGCAATACCACAAACACTGACAAACTGCAGCCATCCATCTAAATCAAACTGGAAGCTATTCAAACTTGAAATTATTCTAGAATATTCTTCAAATATGACCAAATTGACATTATTCAATCACATCTCTACATCCTAACCACAGTTGCAATACATCTGCAATGAGAGGCTCTGTTGTCCTTGATCATTATTCAAGTAATTACCAGCTGATTACAAAGCTAAGAAAAGTTAACATTTTTCCATTGCTATGCTAAAATAAAGGTTCCTGAACCCCTAAAACCATTACCATGGTTACAGTGAGGTTTCATGTTAGTAATCAGCAAATGGAGATAGCAGACTGATTAACAGACCTGCCCACAGCACCAAAAATCAGTGCTCAGTGAAATAATGCATCTATAATAGAAAGCAGATTTTAAGTATATACATTTACCAAGCTGGCAAGTTGATCATCCTGGACAAACTGTTTTGAGCGCAGTGACTTGCCACAACAATATAGAGAACATGCCTCACAGGTCTGATGAACAGCATCAATCATGCCAGCCTTTATTGCTAACAATCGTTTATGACATGCTCGTCATCGTCTGGGAATTGTGACAGTTGACTGACAGGTAATCCATTACAATAGTTCATTTAAGTCATATTTATCACAATCAGGTCAAAGATCACTGTCCTCAGCTTTTGAAAATTCAAAATTAACATTAAACTTTCAAACATTGGTTTGCAAATTTACCTGGACAAATTTTGAATAAAGTGACAGGACAGTAAGTCTGATCAAATTTTAAGAAACGATCAGGTTTATTCGATATCAAAAGGATAGATGAGAATTATTAACAGTCATGCAATCTGTAATAATGGTAAGTAAATTGATGTATTGTTGGGTTCTTCACAATAACAATTCCAGGTGAGCTGCATAGCTATGTAAATTATGCAAAAACAATGTTGAAAACT